TTAAATCACAATGTGACAATCATGGGCGTGAGTAATGAACTCTATCAAATCTGGGTGCCGAATAAATAAAATTCTTTCGGTGGCTCGGACTCCCGCGATCGGAACGAAGACTGATGTTCGGCGACATTGTTGCTCCCAGCCTTTCCCTCTTTCTTTATGGTAAATTTATGCAAAATTTCCCGGTTGCGAACAGTGGCGTGGCGTGCTTTTCGATCCATCGATAAATCCCCATTTGAAGCTGTGGTAAATAATCGATTATTAAGGTGTTCGCTGCGAACACCCTGTTTATCGATCCTTCTCCATAGGTTTAAATGGCATAACAATCGATATATCGCAATTCACGCCACGCCACTGGTTGCGAATCCACGTTCTTTAACGATTTTGGTCTACGGTGTTTTATTGACTAGCTGACCAGCGATGTACTTAAACTTTCAACGAGAAAAAGCGGAAAATTTGATGGGATTTATGGCGGTGACAAGATCTGTAGATAGGAGGAAGTAGGCTGTAAAATTTAAAGGCCGAAATAATCCATCAATTTTATGTTACAGCATTAGACAACAAATTTTTTTCGCTGAGCTTCTTCCTGCCTCCTCAAATTACATTCAGAAAAAAAAATCGCTACAGGCATAAAGCATAATTTAATTAATAATACTAGACTTAGTTGTATATGTTTTTTGGGGGAACGGGGGAGCTTATTTGAATGTTGGGAGTTGATGTTGGATTTAATGGGCTTAATAGCCAAAGATTCGATTTTCTGTGCTTCCTTGTCACAGAAGCAATCTTTATGGTCATATTTCACAGAGAAACATGAATTCGCTCTTCTCTCGCATTGTGTTTTCGTTGTGGGCTTTACGTTGAGGCCGGAGGGTACTACAGTAAATCTCATTCCAAAACGTAGTATGTGACATAATAATGAAATAAATGAGAGATCTGACAACTATGTTCGGATTAAGTGGGAGGTTTCGGAAAGATGAGTCGAGCCGCGCGGGGTGAGTGCCCCTTGCCCGTGCCCGCTAAAGGCAGGTTGCCACTGTTGCCAATCTACACTACTAATACTGATTAACTAAAAAATAGGTTTTTTGTTGTTAGTGTCCAATATTACAAATTTTCTTTCTTATTTTTCTAAAATACTTGCTCCAATCGCGAATTTATAAAAACAGACAGCCTGGTAGGTAGCATTTTTCGCTGAATGTCCTTCCTCGCCGATTTATTTTTTCTTTTTTTTTTTCTTTTTTTGCATAAGTGGCTTAGCAACATTATACTTTGATGTAGGTCGTAAAAAGTACTTCGGGTTCAACCTGAGGTTCTATCAACGAAAAAATCTGCTTATATGTACGCCTATGTCATATTAAAAAATAATACGAAATTTTGCGAAAAAAGACGCAAATTTTTCGACGAGAGCTTGACTTAACCTACATTTTAGTACGTTTACAAAATTTCAGGGCATAATGGTCCTGAGATTTCTGATTAACAGATTGTAAATGGCGAAATCATTAGGAATTCTTGGTCGTTACCGATTATCCGAAATTTTCTGTGATTTTACATGTCCTCCGATAATTATACTTTACCCTATGGGTTATTTTCCAGACTACATTTTACCGTACGTGAAAACAGTGCTGTTCGAAAGGCGGAAACATTACCGAGGGCATGATTCAAGCTCTAAAGGACGTAAAAATTGATAATAAAGTTGTAGGAAGTGCTGGACACGCATTAGGTAACAATACTACAAAAAACAGCAAAATCAACGGTAAAATCAGTCGGATTCCGGCAAAATGCTGGCACATGATAAAACTAGCGGTAAAATTTGGTGAAGATACTGTATACAAAATTACATAATCTGGAAAGATTTTAAAATTACTAGTAATCCATAACGATGGGGTCAATCGAAATTTTACATGTTTTTTGTGTCATAAAAAAAGGGGAAGATAAAATGCAATTACACGAGGAAATTTTGCAACAGAAAATAGTTCGGGGCTTACTTCGCTGAAAGCTGCATGTCCAGAACATCCCAATACTCAACACGCAGGCTGTAAATCCAGCTTTTTGTCGTCAAATCTGGCCGCTCGGCGCATACGGATGGATTTCGTGACTTTGTCACCAGTCACCAGTCACCGCTCCGCTTGATGCACGGTTCAATGGTTCCGGGCGAGCGCTGACCGTCAATTTTCGTCCCCCGTGACTCCCTACTCCGCCAACATCTCCGTCGTGCAAAGGAAAAACGACGCATGAAAATTCCAGCGTTGCCAGTTTGTATCGGATAAAATGGAAATTTCCTTGAAAAATTGTCAATTTCCCTCATTAAATTTTTCGGAAAATTTTTCCCGCGGTTCAATCTATCGTCTCGAAATATTCCAAGACAAAGAATTCATCAATTTTCCAAATAGTAAATATTTTACTGGGGAAAATTTGGCAACACACGAATGCTGATAAGGCGTTTTTTCTCAATATGGCACATCTCGCCGTATTCAAACTCGGTTAAATACCCCCGAGAGAACAACCGTGGCGTTAATTCGTTAATTGCGGACGGCCTTGGTGGCCTTGAAAGTCTTGAGTCATCGGTTGCGTTGTTCGGTTTAACAACTTAAACCCGCATTTTTTTCTTTTTGAGGTTTCAATTATGAAAACATCGTGTGCGACTCTTGAATAAACTGATTTTATCCTCCGATTCAATCATCGAAATCGGCGGCGTTCTTTGGGGTAAAAAAAAAGGGGGGGGGGCGACGCGAAGCTTCAAAATAACATTTTTTCGCTTCTACTTTTCACGCATGAATTCAGACGTGACGGATTGATAGAGGTGCGATAAAATCTTTCAGTAGAAATTCGCGCAATTTGTATTTGTTTTACATACACGCACTTGGGGGAAAAAAAAACATTGGATCTAGAGTCCAGGCTCTTGAAAACATTTACAAGAAAAAATACTCTTGATTCAATCAGATTTTTGCTTAAATTAAAAGGAAATCCGCTCAAATTAAGAGGCTTGGTTCTTGATTTAAGCAAAAATCCGATTGAATCAAGAGTATTTCTTCTTTTCGATGTTTTTAAGAGTCTGAACTTTAGATTCAATGTGTTTTTTTTTTTCAAGTGCGGACGAATTTTATCCTTGCTGCGTATGAACCTCCATCTCATTGCAAATACAACTCAGTACGCTTCGGCGCCAATACTTTCACTTTATATTTTTAGACGTGAGATAGCCCAGACAAAGTGGCTCCATTGCCGTTTCTGGAAGCGAGGCATGCCATTCATTCCCCAATTTTTACTTTTGCCACTTTTCTAAACCACAGCGGTCCTGGGGAGCCGGCTCAGAGGTCAAAATCGGATTGAATACATTCACAACCTGACTGGAACTCGTTATCAGGCTCCAACTCCTAAAGGAGCATCATTCGCTTCGTAGTTGCCTATTGTGAGCCGAAACTCGCGATAAAGCCTCTTTAATTTTCGCCAGTTATGGTTCACTAAATGACCCTGACAACGCTGAACTCATTAGGGTGGCCATCAATCAATTACCTCTTCCGGAACAAAAAGGCGCGATCGTTTGAATTAACCTCATTTGAATATTTGCTTTTCGGCGCTGACTTTGCAGCGAAAGGTCGTCGGTCGTAAAATCAATCAAACGCGAGCGAAGTATGACTAGTTTCCTTCTTCAGACATTTATTATGATCGGGAGATCAATGTAGCACAACATCGACTTTCGTCGGATTACAAGCATACTTGCGCTCTGACGCGCTTTGACATGTCATTAAAGAACAATGTCAATGCAAAGCTCAAGCAGGAGGGAAAAATGGACGTATTTCTGCCAAACGGAACTATGTGCATTATGACGTGAGCTCTATTATGCATATATCCTTGTGGGTCTCAGGGCTCGTGTCTTAATGCACGTATAGTTCTGCTTGGCAGAAATGCGCCCAAATGATGTTCCTAGTCTCGAGATTGTTTAATGCAAATTGCAGGATGCAGGTCATTGACTGATGTTTCATTATATGTGTCCGGAGGGTGGTTGAGTATTCAGGATACAGGAATGGATTTTAAAGGGAAAAATAATATTTTTTGGTAGCAAAGCATTTGTTTCACCAAAATTTCTCCTCTACAGGACTGCAGCATTTTGTTAGAAACATGAATACATATTCATGGAGCAAAATTGGCATTCTTCAGCGATCTTAAGCGATTTACATCTTTGTTGAGTAGAGCAAGGCTGGAAGGGTATTATTTAAACAAGTATTTGTCTTCATTTTTTTGCAGCGCTTCATTCGGGTTCCCCTCCAAAACAGGATTTAATTCACGCGACTTTAAGGTTGAAATCTCCCTCCTGCACGGAGAGAAAAAGAGGAAGAAAAAGAAGAGGAGAGGAGAGAAAGGAAGTTTTCCCTCGATTTGAGGCTAAAAACAATTAGACAACTGAAATTATGCCTGAGTTTTGCTTTGAATCTAATTAATTGATCCACAAACGTTCCCAAAATGTTAATTTTGTTGTTCGGTTTCAATTCTTGAGAATTCCCTTGCTCAGAAGAAAATGCAAATAACGTTTTCCTACGAAAAAAAAAAAATATTGTATTGACGGTGAAACTCCCAAACTACGTTTCTCGGTTTGCGACGTTGTAGAGTTCCTATCATACCTCTTTTTTAAATGGAAAATCAATCAACGCCGCTTCTAACAAACAACTGTGATTTTTCCTCTCTAACAATGCTCGAAGAAAATTCTAGGAAAAAATCGAGGAACGATGCGTCAATGTATTCCTCTTAATAAAAAAAAAAATGGAAGCGGAGAATTTGAAACACTATAAACGAGATACGTGGTTTGAGAGGTACACCGTCGATTTTCACTGAGAGGATCAACCTCTGAGGTGTCTAAAAAACTTAATCCTGAATCATTCTGTTTCACGTGAATCAGTACGCGTGTAGGTCAATGACTTGATGTTTGATTTGCAGTTTGCAGCGAGTATTTACGGCCTGAGAAAAAAGTATACAAGGGTCATTAATCGAAGATTTTATCTGGTTTCTTTCAGGTCATTGCAGCATTGACCTTGGTGATTATCAACGATGCATACTCCCGACCCAACGCAGCATACCAACAACAGTATAACAATGCCATCAGACCGCAGATTCAAAGGTACGGCCTTTTGTTGTAATTAATTTATGAGGTATTCACTGCGCTTTAAAGACATAGAGGAAGTTGGTCGTTTAAAGCCTAGCAAAAATAACTATCTGGAAGTATTATTTCTCTCACCCATAGTTGAACAAGAGTAGAAGGAGAATAGTTTTTGAAAGAATAATTGCTTTCATCACCCTGATCAGGAAAATTGGAAATGAATCTACCGGTTATACACTTAAAAATGACTGAAAGTAACGTCCAGTTCGAGCTCAAGAGTTTAAGGAGCCCGCATTCCCTTCTGGCTACGCCCCCGGACCGCTCCATAGCACTACCCCTCTAAGCGCTTCGCGCCCTAGGCGGTATACATTACTTTTATGATATTTCATTAAAAAGTGCCAATTAAAACATTGAAAATGAAGCGATTAATATTTACAGGGGGTTAAGGGACAAGCCGCATAAGTGCAGTTTTTCAAAAAAAATGAGATAATGTTGATTTTAAGTAAAAATAGTTCTGATGCATATATCGTGAAAGATTCGCCCCCCCCAAATTCCAATTTTTAAACATAAACTTTCTATTTGCTCATAAGATCTTCTCATATATTTCTCAAAATAGCAAAAACTGCAGTTATGTGCTTGTCCTCCGATCCCCTCGTTTCAACGACCAACGGACCTCATCCAAAATGTTTGAAGTATTCCCATATCAATTATTCAAGTTCATTAAAAAGTTAAATTTCTGGATAATTTTTTACTTGATCACTTGATAAAAATTGTACTTTTTATCATTCTCGACACAGAACTAGTATTCAAAAACATTCTGTAAAGCATCTCATATGTCACTATCAGGCTATTTGTTTTATTCACTCATCAGTGGCTAGTTCTAAAAGCATGAATGAAAGTGCATCAATTTACTCTAGGATGTGCTGTATAAAAATGGAATTTGGAAAACATATATCATGCCGATGTATAGATAAAATTAATTTTAAAGTTGCATGATATTTATTGGAAATCCTTGACAAGGTTTGGATTATAGGAAAAATTGAGGTATTCGCTACTTGTGACGACCGACAGAACATGGGTTCATTTTTCATGGCCCAAAATTTTCACCGACATTGTTTAACTTTCTAAACATTACAAAACATACATATTTAAATCACTTTTTCGAGACTCATTGACACCTAAAGCGATACTTAAATCGGTCATGCACTGATATACTACAAATCCTTCTGTTCTCACTGATTCTAAGAGCGATATCTAGGACATGCAGCAAAATAAAACTCCGCTCTGCCATACGAAAAATGCCTTCTGATTTTTCAAAGGTTGCCTAATTTCTCTTGAGCTGACATATTCTTTTTATCCCCCTGTAAAAGTACACTAGATTCAATTTTACATGAAAATCATCGAAAAACTCAAAAATGTGATAAATACACATAAATTCTCTGGAAAGTCCGGCTCTCATGAGCAGAAATCTGATGACGTTCGGACTTCAGATAAAATTTTAGCACAAGCAGATTTTCGGTCGCATTTGCTTCGCAGAATCGTGTTTGGGCGGTTAAAACTCACGAATTATTAAAAATAATTAGCCAAAACACAAAGTTTCCGAAATGAATATGATTATTTTTCTGCCGGACCATAAGTTTCAACCATCAAAACATTCTGCAACTAGCGCAAGTCTGTAGATGCGCTCGTTCAATTTGCACAATACAAATGTTGACTAATACTGAGACTTTTTTGAGCTTAAAAGAAATTATGAACTCAGAAAATAAACAATCTCTGAAGTATATCTGAAACAACACCTTTGACTGACCCATGTCTGTAAATGTTCTGCATATAATATAGCCTGCATTAATATTCTCAGATCGGTCACCCCTCTAATCTTGTCTCTAATTTCCCTTCAATTTGTCGTCTCGCCGGGAAGGAAAAAACAAATTACGCTCTTTTCTCTGAAGTACCTAAAGACAAATAGTTTAGCGCCAAAATATGCCGCACATATTTGTTTGGCTGACTTATTAGCGACGCACAAAGGATCGAGTCAATTAGAGAGGTCGGACATGACATTTTTGACCAAAACTGCAAATTTCGATGTTTATTTCGTCACATTTTAAATTTCAAGGGGTGTTTTTGGAAGAGAATTGTAGGTACGAGGAAACTAATGGACTCGAACCTCAAAGTTTTGTATAAATGGGGTTATAAGCGTTTAAAGTTTCCAAATTTTGTCCAACCTCTCCTATTGACTCGATCCACTGTGCGACGGGTGGAAACGAATCGCATGCCAGGATGCCAGTTTCAGCTCCCTGGAGTATAAAACTTGTCTCGTTTACGAAAGCAATCGGTCCGTCATTTCATCGCTCCTCTCTATGGTGTAAAGACGTATCTATATTTCCCTGTGAACCCCGGAGAGCATGAAGTTAGACGGACAACCGGGCTCATGTGGAAATCGACTTACGACCTTACACCGGAGGACCGACGCTCTGACTAAGGTGAAGTGATAAAATTCTTACTGCTTTCGCGAGTGGTGACTGGTGATAGTGACCGGGGTGGAAAAATTATCGTTCGACACGAAAATGGACCGTGTTTAGCAGAAAGGAACCAAGCCACATCAGCTATTGCCAAATTTCACTAGGAAGTTTACTTTTTCACGTGGGAACGTTTGGAATTGCGCGGGCTTTGGTCTAGCGTACCGGACCGGAGTCTTTCCTACCAAGTGTGGATTCCTTCGAAAATTTTATGGAATTCGCTTTGCACTATGAAGAAAATTTACTGAAATTTGCAAAAAAATCCACGCAACCCTTTTCTTGTAAAAAATTCAATTGCTAGATTAAATTTGGCAAAAGCTAATGTGGCTTGGTTCTTTCCTTCTTAACGCAGTTCAAATCTACCTAAGACGGTCTTTGTAATATTGTAATGGGCCGTGTAACTCTCATTAGACATTTCCGGTACTTGAACATTTCGTCAGCACGATCATTCTAATCCCAGAGCATGAATGTGAGATGGAAAACTTTTTTTGACATTTTGAACGAAAAGTAGATGAAGCAAATTTTGTGACGTTGAGACGTTCATACGTCGTTCTTCTTTAGCATGGCGGTATAGTTGAGTCGTTTGTCATGGAACTCTGAGTGGCGCGTCGCGGGTGACTGGACGCTTTCTGGACGACTCCATTAGCTCTGCTTTAAAAATAAACAGATTACCCTTTCCTGTTTTGGTATTTTCTCGTTCCGTAGACAAAAGAAGCGTGTTAACATCGCTCATGATGAGAACGCAATGAATTCAGCCAACTGAAGAAGTTCTGACTTTAAACTAGGATATCCTCATTTTACGATAACAATAGGTCAAGGGAACTGAAGGGCATAGACTGTTTAAAAAGCAATCGGATCATCAAATTATTGCAATTTCATTGCGGTTTGCTTACGTGTTAAAAAGAATGCTAATAAATTGGCTAGTGGCTACATTATTGAGACTTTTCGTTGTGGTTGCTTGATGCTCATCTTCTAAATTCTAGGCGCTGAAATCATCGCAATTATTCAATTTCGATTTCTATGGTAGTCGCGTGTGTTGCCTATCTTATCTTTTCTGGGCCCGAGAATAAGATGCTAATATTGATGGATAAAAAACTTAGACTGACAAATTTTTACGGCAACAACACTTTCAATTATTGGATCCGTGCCAAGACATTTTTCCTTCAAAAAAGTCACTAAAAAGTATTGATCAATTTCATAAATATAACACATAAAAAGAGAGTGCCGGTTATACTTTCGAGAACCGTCTAAATTACCAAATTTAACCCATTTCCACATAATTTAGCATTAATTGACTCATACAAATTTGAAAAATTTGCGATTGAGGAATAAAGGAGAGAATAGGAGAATCGTAAAATGACATGTCAGGGAAATGTGGAGAACTTTCACGTTGAAAATAATTTACAGACCGCAAAACGCATTTTCCCTCCTTTCAACTACTGTGCTTGGTGTTAAGTAAAAAGCTGGAAAAGTTAAGCATGATAGTTAAGCAAAATATCTTGTTTAATATTTTCTCCCTATAATATCCTAAAATGTCACTCTATGTGTTTAATTCGAGGATTTTAGCCACCTAAAGTCGATTCTTTACGACTCAAGTCTCATTCACCTTAGTAATTATTTTGTGGAGCTCCAGTTTGCGAGGAACCTGACAGTAATTTATTCAGAAATAGAGAGGTTTTCCACATTAATTGCAATCATTAGAATACGGGTGGTTAGATTGGGCGGTATCGAAAAATTGAGCTGGAATTTTCCTGAAAGAGATTTAAATGCAAAAGAGTTTTGCATATCTTTACTCTTAGTCCTCTCGCTCACTCTGACCTCGAGAAATCTCTGTCGTCAGACCATGGCTGAAACTTTAAAACATTTCAATTTAAGTGACTAGCTAAGAAATCAGTTTCACGAACATTGCAAAATCTTAAAGTTTTGTGGATATCTCTTAGCAAATCAAAATTAATGTAGTTTTAGGCCAAAAACCAGTTACTAAACGTGGTTTGCCTTTATTGCAATGATTAGGAAGGACACGAACTAGCATCCAAGTTAGCAAGAAAACATTCTAGTGCTACGAGACAAGCACTAGATTGCCTCCTTCATGGTATCGCCTGGAAACAACTATTCGCACTCAAGGGATGTCCGTGTTGCATGCAGATAGAATTGAAGGCGTTTTGTCTTTTTAACGGTTCATCCAGAAGATTCGTCGACAAGGTTTAAAATGATTTTCAATATTTCCCCCTATATTATGAGGCTTGAATTTAACAACCAAGAAACAGTCACGTTAAATTATGATTCCACGACTGTAATGTTTCTAATGAAATATGAGCATTCATTATTCGGACATATAGATTCCTGCTCCTAGCTTGTTCAAGTATTTTTGCATTATTCTAAAAAGTCGGTGTATGATTAAAGGAAGTGTAGTCGTAGCTTGCCTGAGAGCTACTATTGCTACCTCCGGGTATAATCTATGGCATCGCGTGTTTCAATGCGATCCATATCTGTGCGAAGGAAGTTTGGCATAGAATTCAACAGGTAGATGAGATTACCGCATTGTTGCGAAATTGTAAACAATGTATAATGCACTCACTTCTACAATGTAAAGTTGACCTTCATTTCATGAATTTTTTTTAACATTTTAGGGTACTTCATTAAAATGTTGCTCCCATGCACCGTCTTCCTTAAAGAAAGTTTGACCTCTTCCGAATAAATTGATCCGCCCTCAGATTTGATTGAAATGACGTATTTCGTAGTATTTCTGTATAGGTTCTCGAAAACGACTTGCTCGGATTAAATACGATCAATTTACTCCGCTGAGACAATCTCGAGGACAATAGAGAATGAAATCCTTTTTTCCTAAAGCTTGATGGAATGAAATCATGCTGAAAAACTTCGTAAATTTAATAGAATCAATAGAACCTACACCCACCTATCTATGCTAAAACCACCACGGTTCGTACTTATGCTACTAAAAACAACTACTTCGTAGTAAAATACACTTTTTCCAAACTGCCTCTTATGACGTCGTTACACTATCACCAGTAAATTATATTCAAAATAAGTTATCGAGTGCTACTACTACCTTTATACCTCAGCATGTTTAACCCACCTTCTTCAAAAACCTGAACAATTAGAACTTTTTTTAAAGGAGGAAAAAGTTGAGCGAAATGACAGAATTTTTGCAGAATTTGTATTGCTTTTACGACAGCGGATTCTTTTCACGTACTTTCTCTGACTAACACTGAAATGACTGACAAATTTTGTGAATTTTGTAAAAAATAAAACACAGCCAAGACACAATATCTGTACATTTGATAAAACTTATTCGCACATAATTGAACTCTTGGCTCATTTGCACTCAATAAAATGTGCATGTACAGCTACACATTACAGCATTTTTTATGTCAATATGTAAAAAATAATTATGAATAACGTTGAATTTCTGTGCTGTTTCATAGTGCATTTATATAGAGGATCGTAAGAACTCCCAAATGTAAAATAGTTGTGTTTTTATTAATTTGGTGCTAGTTCTTTCATTTAAATATTGCACATAACTGGAAGACAAAATTTGGCAGAGCATTTTAAAATAAGCAAGGTAAGAAGCTATTTAACAAACTTTTTTAGAACTAAGAGTTTACTAACCGTTTAATCTCGATTCCCATTACTAACATCTTCTCTTTATCGATGCATCATCTCCGAAAGGCTCGAGAAAATTGTCATTAAAATCCTTTATATTTTAATTATACTTTAAGTTGACCAGGTACAAGCTCTTTAAAATTGTTTTACGAAAAGTAATCTCGATAAATTCGGAACCGTTTAGCTGCCAGCTTCCTTTTTTAGCGGGTCTCTTCAAAGCTGGAATATCTGTAGCTTTTATGGGATTATAAGCAACACTTTTTCAAAGAGCACGCTGGAAAATTAATTATGATAGCATACTTTACAAATGCAGATTCAGGATTCCATTTTTAGTGGGTCTTTCTTGAAAATTGTTACCAAAATTTCTAACTGCGCACATAATGATAAAGGAAGGGAAACATTGAAACATTTCTGAAGAAAGAAGCTGATGGTTGCCGGTTCTGCTTTTCATACCTCTTCATGGTGCTTGTATGATGCACAATCTGATACCCAATTTTACTCGTCAATTCGCTTCTCTGTCATCTATTCCAACCTTTCTCTCTAAGTGTACCTATTTCATTATATCCTATTTATTATTTTACCATCGTTGTGCATTAAATATTTTGCTGAATGTAATTCATCAATCATTTATTCTGTATATATTTTCATCGTCACCTCATACTGCGCTGAATATATGTATATATCAATACTGGCGTTCATGTACTGTACTTTCATCGAGGAACGCCTTTGATATTGTGAAGTATGCTTCACATTGAGAAAGAGTTCAAACGCGCACTTTTGTGCTCTAACCTAGTATCACGATTATCAAATTTTGATGATTTCTCTTTCTCTCTGTTGTCTCATGCATCTTTATGAGGACTGGCCACTTAAACGAGAAAAATCTGAGATCGATCTCCGTTAAAAAGGCTCAAGCATTGACGGATTTTATGGTGCTTACTTCTTTTAAAATCATCGGTTTGTGGGTTACAATTAAGATTTGGTGGATGAAAAAGAAATGATTGCTTTTTAAATTGATATGTATTATTTTTAAGTCTTTGTCCGTCATCATTGTATAATTTCCATTACCACTAAAAATTACCACTTTACTACTTCCCCTAAATAATTGCTTCCTCAAAATTATTCAGGGAATATTTTGGGTTGAATTCCATTCCTGAGCGGAACTTGTATCGAATTATGCGTTCAACAATCAGAAGAAAACGAGAGATTGGCACAACGTACAATATATTAATTATACAAAACATAAAATAAAAATTAATTTATTCACCCATACTCTCAATGCAATTCTCACACTATTTTTGAATCAAATTAAGCGATCTTTTCGAACCTCAAAGACGATCTAATAATGCAAAGGTCGAAATTGTCTTTATTTATTTCTTATAGGAATATAAGTAATTTAAAACTTTAGAAATTGGTTACTTTCAATTTTATTGAAGTCAGCCGACGAGTAACTTTTGAGAAAGTCTATTTTTTTTAAATAAAAGAAAAAAATATTAAATGTTGTTAGTTTTTGAAAAGTATAGGTAGGTGCTTTCCTGTAACGAAACAAATTTTCGAAAATTTCCGAATCGGGCATTTTAAGACATAATACATTAATTTAAAATTTATTTCACAAGTCGGAACTAATGGTTTTAAAACGCGGCAAATACGATGGAACTTCTTGAATCTCGTCGAAAAACCCGAAATTTCAAACAGTTTCTGTCAAGGTATACCAACAATATTAATTGAATGAGAAAATTACCCTGCAAATGTATTTTATTGAACGCTCTCAATTAGTTTATTGTGAGCGAAGAAATTTCACTGTTGTAACAACACTCCGATGGTATTAGTTTCTTCATACCTATAATGTGCAGTCGAATTTTGGACAACTTTAAACGCGAGGGCCTTGAAGGACAAGGCGCATTAGTGCAGTTTTTACTATTTCGAGAAATACGTGTTTGAAGTTTCGAAATTATACGGATCCTTATGGCGGAAAGCAAGTTTAAACTGACTTTTTGATGATTAAAAATTGGAATTTCGGAGCGAATTTTTCAGAGAAAATGCATCAAGACTAGTTTTACTTGAAATCATCAATATCTCATTTTTTCAGGAACTTCACATATCGACGGTGAAACTACCAAACCACGTATCTCGGTTTGCGACGTCGCAGACTTCCTGTTATACTTTATTTTTTAAATGAAAAACTTACTTAACGTCTAGTCTTGAAAATTTCTGTGATTTTTCCTCTTTGTGCGGAGAAAATTTTGTGAAAATTTCAAGGAATGATATTGATTTGGTCGACTTCAAAAAAATAAAATGCGAGCGTAGATTTTTAAACACCGCAAACGAGATACGTGGTTTGGTAGTTTCACCGTCGATATGCGCTTTGTCCTCCAAGCCCCTCCGATGACATCTTAATTCTCAAATTGTTTAAATCATGTTTCATCTCATGACGAAATGTTTTCCATTTCAGGGAGGTGAACGGCAAAACGGACGAGAAGTACTATCACTACGACGGCGTCCTGGTTCCCGTGATGTACATGCACGATTCCTGGCCGAAACAACCCTCCACGGACCTCTCTTTCGGCGACAAACTACCCGCCCAGAGCGCGCCTTTCGTGAGGGCACCAAAACCGGAGCCGTTTACCCAACCCGAGGACGCCGAGAACTCGCTCAAGGATACCGACCGCCTCATATCCAAACTCCAACACTTGGCCAACCTCAAGTACAACCCGAACCCGGACGACACTCGCTCCAACCAAATCTCCGACAAAGTTTACAAGAAGATGAAGAACCCCAACCGCCGTAGGTCCAAACCCAGTAAGGTCGTATCCGCGCTCAAGGAGAGTATCATCAAGGAGGTCGAGAAGGACGTTAAAATGGACGCCTCGACCGCACAACTCAAGGACAAATACATGGACACTGTTTTAAAACCCAAGCGGGTCGTCCAGCAAAGGGTGGTGTACACACCAAAAGCTCCGACGCCTTACAATTCCTACCCTTTGGACAACGAATACGGCGCAGCGTACCCGGTCGCGAGTTATCAGTCCTTTCGTGACGAGCCCCAGCAAAGGGTACCCGAAAGGGTCTTCGACATCCCGATGCTGAATCTGCCGAGCTTGGCCCTGCCCATGTACCAAAGCCCGATGGAAACCAACCCTTTGTGGGCTAAGTTATTTCCAGCCGCATCCAAAGGCCCCTCGCCTTTTTTAGAGACGTTCTCGACGGCCGTTGAGTACGGCACCGACTCGGATTGCAAACAGAGAGACAACCAGAAGATCGAGAGTTTAAACCGTGTCAAGCGTGGATCCGAGGTCGATACCAACGAGGTGGCCTCAGCGCAGAGTTTGAACGAATCAGAGGGGGAGAATAAACCCGAAGGCGAGGGGGAAGAGTCGCACGACGTTACCAACTTTACAGTGATAATAATCTCTGATGAGAAGAGAGAGGAAGACACGAACCGAGCAGACAAGAAACTAGACACAGACACCGACGCAAGTGGAGTTCTGAAGAACGAAATTCTGCACTATAAAGATACCTACAAAGACGCACCAACCCACACAAACTCACTATTAAAACCTCTGTCTTTTTTTAGCGCTAGTACCAACAAGAACAAGCAGGAAGGGGGTGTGATCCCTTCTTCGCGCGAGGGCTCCACCGGGCCCCAAATCTCGACCCTGAAGGTGCGGAAGGGTGGAGTGGCTATCGCGGGCCCAGGGGGTATCGCCACCGCCGGCTCGGGGGGCACGGCTATCGTGGGCCCAGGGGGCACCGCCTACACGACGGCCGACGGTATGGCTGTAGTAGGCTCTGGAGGTAAGGTCGTGTCCCTGGGTGCCCAGAACGAGCAGTCCCAGAACCATGGGCTCCACGTGCCGCAGTACCAGATTCAATACCAGCCGCAACTCTCGCCATACGGGGTTTTCCCGGAGTTGATGCACGGTAGGCCCACGATGGACTACAGGCCAGGGTTGGTCAGGGTCAACCGACATGCCAAGGTCACGGAAGATTTTGGTGATACTCCGGACAGGGACACCAGGGACTCCACCGAGAGCACGGGTTTGCATTTGCTCCCGTGGGAGCTGATCTTGGATCAGAAACCTGAGAAGTGAGAGAGATCTTAAGTCTGAATGATATTTTTTGATTGTTGCGTCTCAGCAATGTTTTACCCTTCTCGTTTTTTTTAAAGGGCTAAGTTTTGAAAAAGAAATAATCTCGGTCAGCAAATCAATATTGACACCGGGAAAACTTTGGGAAAAGAGGTTTGTTCAGGATTGTTTTGGATTGAACGTGACAGTTTCAGAGATAGATTATGGGAGTCAAAATAAGAATGGTCTATGGGTGTAATGATCTGTTTCACAACAGCTGCGTTTTAAAAGGTACTATACAAGTTACAGAATAAAAGACCAATTTTTGATATTATGGCAACAATAGCATTAATTTAAGTATCGGTCAATATTTTCTGACAAAAATCTTGCGATATATTAGTGGGAAGAAGTAAGGAGGAGCGTTGCACTTTAAATCTAGTAGAAAAACTAAGTCATAAAGGATGAGTATCTGATAAGATGCATGGTGAGAATATGCGATACCTTTTTAGGGCTTTCTTCCCAATTTTAGTGATAGAAATGTGTAAAGTACTTGAAAGTATCCAAAGACACAAATTAATTTCCTAAACAAATATCACTGCAATTTCGGAGGGGGGAAAAAATTATGAAAAAAGAAGCCACAGGTAAGACGGAGAGTATTCAATTAGAAAAATGTCATAAATGTCAAAAATGTCATAGACTCTCATAATCAATCTCTAAAACTTCGTTTTTCATCTCCCTTGTAAAAATTTGCGATAGGAGCTGCGTTTTAAAATACCATAGGAGTTCTTATAGCCGACTGAAGAAGGTGATAGAAAATCATATAGCTGGCTGTAGAAAGTGGAAAAAATTATTCGGCCGGGCTACACGAAGCGATAAAAAATTACACAGCCGGGCTATAGTTCCTATCACCGGGCTTTACACTTTATCGCCTGGCTGTTGCTTTTTCGCCATCGGCTATAAAAAATTGTGTAGAAATTCGTGTGCTTTGTAAATCCCAAAGTTTGTACGGAATCACCTTAATATTTACAAAACGTACATTATATTTTCCTTTACTACATATTTTTTTTTCATCAATTACAATGAGAATAATCCATACAGAGTGTGCAAACACTTCAAAGTCATGAGTTGAAAAACGCTGACTCCACGAGATTAAATATTAGAGCCCAACTCGAAGCGGAGCGGCGGCGCACTGGCGCCTACAAACCTAACAGGGATACTTCACGCATTGCGCAATGCGTGAAGTATCCCTGTTAGGTTTGTAGGCGCCAATGCGCGTTCCGCGCTGGCTGCCCACCCGCCGCGCCGCAGCGTACCACGGCGCTTGAAGCAACTATTCCACACCAGAGGTATTACACAGTATCATACGAAATTGAAGGCGCTCCAACATATTAGGAATGGCAGGCGTCCCTCAAAAGCACGGAGCTTTCCTCGCAAAATAAATCAAGAAACTACGGCCCAAAAAGAGAGCGATTGTCCAAAAACTCACTAAGTCCTAGCATCCGTAATTAGTAACGTTTAGCATACACTTTATCGCCAGGCTGTTGCTTAATCGTCATCGGCTATAAAAGGCCATAAGAAGTTGTGTTGCCGGCTGTAGAAGCTATTGAGAATCTTACAGCCGGCTGTAGGTCTATGGTATTTTGGAACACAGATTCTACTGCTAATTTTTACCAGGGCTGGCCCACCCCCCACGACTTGAAAATTATCTGAGTTAGACAATATACAGTAAAACAACCTCGTTCTTAAGTGCAATTACTCTTGTAAACTTTAGTGCATTAATCATATATTTTTCCCCATTTTATTACGAGACGTTTACAACGAAGAAAATGGATTCCTTTTTTGTAAAGATGTTCACTGAAAACAAATATGGGTATGGATGCATTTTCAAAAACACCTATTTTAATAGAGAAATCAAAAGCAGTTTTGTCCTTTTTTAATAAGCGTGACGCGCACTTCAAGAATGCAACTCTCAGGATCCGTCCCACCCAGTGCAATGAAGGTAAATGTTTAGATATGTTGATACATGCGGTTTCAACCGAAGAACAGGTCGTAATTTGCCTTCATTTAGAGCGGTTTAGCAATTAATTTTGACACTAACGGTATAATTTTGCCTACCTTGATAAATGAAGACAAATTACGATGATGAACAATGATGTGTGTAGCGAAACGTAGTTTCAATAGCACAAGAGGTGGTGGTTTGCTTTCATATTGACAGGTTAGAAATTTAATTCGACACTTACGGTATGATTTTGCGTACCTGAATAAATGAAGGCACCCATTCCCTGTGCTATATTGTTCGAAGTTCCAAATAAGAAACCGTGCATAAGTTCGCTTCATTTGAGCGATTAATGAGAACAGACCCTACACATGAAAATGACACGACTCAAACTTTTGATGGGTTGATGCCATCGTGGTCTATGTGATATGACATTACTACTACTAACATTGATGCTTGCCAAATATTACAATTACTAAACCTCTTGGATTCTTTGCTAGTTATTACTATTTTACTTTAAATTCCTGTTTAGAAACCAAAAGTTAGAGATAGTATTTGATTTAGATTTATTTCCTAGAGTTAAATTTGTGATGCAATAAGCTCCGAATTCATTTTTTCCATGCTTTTTCTCCTCAAAAATTGTGTGGAATTACTTTAGAGCCTAGAAACCAATAACGTATCGCAGTCTCTTAAAATATCTGCTCTCAATTCATAGTAATCTAATTTTTAAGCTTGGTCAAGAAACAAAAATTTGTGCCATAACTGTAACTTAAAGTTTTACCTATACTATAATGCAACTCTATGCAAATAAATTATTTCATTCGCTGAAAATACTTTTCATGTTCCTTGAAAACCAAATTCTAAATATTATCTTTTTAATATCTAAACGCGCATCTCAAAGCTAAATTGATGTAAACTGTTTCAAATTTTTTCAAAGCTTGCGTGCTCTCATCAGTATTAAAATGTATTTTCGAATATGTTTGTATAGTTTTTAGTAAGTTTTTACTTATTTTGACATTTCGTTGCTTGTTATTTTTATATTTAGTTATTATGTATTTATTTTTGAGTTCGATCACAAAGTACACTGTTAATTTATTTATTTTTGAATCATTAAGTCTTACCGGAATATTCTAAACTCCAACTGTCAATTTTCATTGGACAGCTGATCCTAATTTATTGTAGCTTCCTGTACACAATAGTTTTGAATAAAAGGTCAAGTTATTTTTGAAGGAAAAAAAAAACATGTTTTTTTTTACAATAGAAAAGAAAGTGTAATGCAGCGCTTGGCGCGTTTGAAACTGAAGTCCAAAAACATTATTAATCTAGCGTGACGCAGTAAAATATATGGGATGAAATTCAAAGAATGGATTAAAGAATATGTATATTAAAAAATATATATTAAAAAAATTTACCCAGCTTGAATTGTGGCTTTACACCAACATTTTTATTTATTTTTCCTTTTATGGAAGAAATAGTAATAGAACATTTTTTTCGAAAAACTCTTCTGATTTAGCTTTATCGCAGTGACAGATATTCGTGCAAATATCAGAAAATGACGTTAATTTCTTTTTCTTTGAAAATATAAATTGGTATAAGAGAAAGAAAGGGAGAGAGAGAGCATTCATATTTTTAGAACAAATGATATCTAACCATAAAAAAATTATTTATTTCCTTTATGAGAAAACGGGGTGCTTTTACATATGCCTCTAAGAAAAATTCTCAAAGCACTCTTTAAACATGTATGGTTGTTTCCTCATATGCTGGTTACCTACTTAGATGCTCAAATTATTATCGAAGTTTTGTTTCTGTTGAACAAATTTTTCTTAAGGAGAATGTAAGTAATGCACCTTACTAGGCTGCAACTTGCGTTTAAAATGCAATAAAATTGATGCGAAAGTTGATTTTCTGGGAAAGGACAGTAAGATAAGATAAAGATACTTTCATCGCTAACAATAAGATTATTGAAACCGTAAGTGGAAATAATTTTCTCATTGGAGCTCTATGTATTATTATTTTTACCATTAAGGGAAAATTAGAAATCAAATAACCCCAAAAATTACAAGAAGAAATACTCACAGATCATAACAGTTCAATAATTCAGGTCAAATAGAAATTAGCGCGGAGTAAGAGAAATATCTGGTGGAATTAGAAAGACTTTTAAAATTCTACCTTAGTCATATTTTTTGTATTTCTTGACGATCAAAAACATCTTTTTGAGAAAAAAAGACAATTCAATCCTTCTAGTTGAGTGCGCACGCACTGGGTGACGTTGCTGATGTCCACTAATCATTTTTTTCTTTTTTCAAAATGTACACACAAGGGTGCTTTAAAGGTTGATTTGGATCAATCTAAACCAATTATGTACAAATATCATCATCATGATGAAAAACAGTTGCATAGCCTGCTGAGCTTGGATATCACGAGTCTCTATTGCGGTATTTTAAAATGTCAACAAAAATTAAGATACCTTTAATACTTAAAAGCTAATTAGGGGCTGAGAGAATATTAAATTATGACAATCGTTTAAAAAGTCACGTGATACAGGTGTGCTATTCTCTTCTGACAGAAAAGTTGTGGAGCCTAATTTTTTCAAATGTTGCTCTTTTCTTTAGAGTAATAGTAAAAGTTGAAAAATTTTTAAGCTCGAAATTTTCAGGGTAAAAAATTGGCCAATCTTTGAAAGTCGTGATTTTGAACAAACGAAAAAACCATCAGCCTCTAAATATTGAACCAAAACATATAAAGCTAAGATATTGAGACGTGATTATTCACAAAACCACCATCAACACTGAGGTGCTTTTCAAATGCAGACAATGTTTTTCTCAACATGGTTAGGGATATTTTTTTGCAGTAAAGGCAGTTGCTGTAAGTAATAGATGTAGAAAAAATGGTACTTTTTAATGAGGAGCTATAGCAAGGAAGTTTCCTATCACGGTGATATGATTCCTCTAGTTAAACGTTTAGGTAAAATAGACGGATAAATAATTGAACGATATTTTCATGTATGTCATACATTAGCCAGCATTTATTCGGGTTCAGCCATATCACAAAAACAAACGCAAGACTTGGGACTAATGTAGGATAGTAAGATGCAAGTTTTGTAACATGCATTTTACATGATACAATTTTACACACGATTTTTTAGTAAAGAGATCTCTTTAAAAATATATTTCATGAGGCAAGAGGTGATAAAATCCCAGCAAGTGAAACAAACGTCTACAAAGACGAAAATAAAAGCTTGTTTAAAAATTCTCATTTTTTATGTCACTCGCCTAAAAAGATAGGTCTTTAAAATGGCACTCAGTATAAGACTTATCTTTCTTCAATGAAAATATCTTTACTAAAAGCCAATTTTTTTGCGTTTGTTATAGGTTGATGGTATGGCCGAACTCGAATAAAATTAATCCGCTGGATGGCTGGCAAGACTTTAACCCATTTGGAAGTCCATATCAAACGGATAATTCACGGCTTAGCAGAGCATATTCTCAACATGCGTTTCCTTTCCAAACAAACCAACCAGTCCAATGGACTCAAACGCCAGTCAGTCCGTTTTATCCCCAATCGATGAACTCCCTCCAATTCCAGCATATGAACCATCCAGATCCAACCTTCAACCCAGGCACTCAGATTGATGGCACTCGGAATCTCAAATTCCCTGGCTATTCTAGTTATGAAAGATATTTACACAATTTGGAAAAGGACACGAACTATAGGAACATGCGTTTTTTCCCACCACAGTATCAGTTCTTTGATTTTGGCTTTAAAAACATGCAGCGGTCCCCTATGACTGGAAACGTGAATTGCGACCTCAGCAACAACTGGTGCGGCGCGGAGCAACCTAAAGAGTTACCTCGAAAAAAGGAGAGAGAAAAAGTCATAGAGCTGTCTGATCATAAGAAACCGGTGGTTATCAAGATCGTTTCGCGAGACAATCAAATACATTTTGATGCCATGCACCCGTCTGACGCGGAGAGTTTGGCACCGGACAGCCAAGTTAACTCTCTCAACTCAGTAACGAGTGACCTGAACACCGAGATAGATCCTTCAGAAGCGATAAATCGTGTGTCTATCGGTGACCCCGTAGCCCCCTGGCATCGCAGAATTGAGAAAAAACCAAAACTTGACACTTTGAAGTACTTGATAAAACAAGATAGTACAGATGATTCAAGATATGAAATTGTAAATTCACAAGCTAAGTCCGATATGTCAAATGGAGAACGTAATGATCCTCCAAAATTGATAAAAAGTGAACACCAATCCATTATTGATTCTATAGAACGGCAAGACCCGTCAACTCACTTAACGCCTACAGAATCGGTCGATATAGCAAGCCGAACAGGTCTCGATGCTGCGAAACGTCAAAACGAGCCTACTATGGTATCTGCGCCTGCAGAATTGCCTGATGAAGCAAGCCAATCGGATACTACTGTGGAACTCCAAAACAAGCCGAAAGTTGATTTTCCGCCTTCAGAATTGGTTGACGCAGCGAGCCAAATAGATGTCGATTCAAAACCTCCCAACGAATTTACAATCGGATCTGCGCTTGCAAAAACGCCCGACGCATCAAGTAAAACTAACAATGATCTCGTAGACCAAGATGGTTCTGCCCTAGAACCTGCGCCTGTAGAATCGCTCAATGCTGCGGGTCAAACAAATTCCCAGTCCCTGAACTCTCAAAACCAGGATGAGCCCTCAATGGGTACTGCGCCTGCAGAATCCTCCGACGCAGCAAGCTTGACAGACACCAGTTCTACTACCCACCAAGATGAGCAAGCGCCTGCAGAATCACTCGATGCATCTAGCCGAACAGATCACGATGCTGTAGAAAGTGCAGACGAACAATCAAAAGATTCTGACCCGGTAGACACTCCTGACGCAACCAGTTTAACGGGCTCTAGTTTTTCTCGAAACCATGACGATGTTGCCCCCGTAGACTCGTCCGATGCGACAAGCGCTGATTCCTCAGACAGCACCGACTTAGAGTCTCCTCACCGAGGCTACAACGGTGACCTGGAGTCACTCCGACCGGAAAAATTCCACATCAACACAGCCGGGGACTTCGGACCCAGCCGCCTTCACCCAACCGAAGACGCAACCCCGCAACACATGTCCGCCCGACAGCGCCCGCTCTTCAGTCTCCAGCAGACTTTCGGACCCCCAACTTCCGACGACGCCAACCAACAGCGGATGCCGTTCTCCCTCACCAAGTACCCAACAACCCCGGAGGAGTTCGACCCTACTCGGGTCTTCGGTCAAAAGCTCCGGAAGCGACCCAGCTCGACGAAGCTGAAGCTCAACGCCTCGCTGGCGGAGTCGGACGACAAGCTGAACAGCTACGTGGCTGACCGTCTCCGGCCGAAGAAGAAGACGACGCCAAAGCCATGCCGGCCGACGCTGAGCAGCGCGTACCCCACGACAACGACGACGCAGAAGACGACGACTGCCCCGCGCAACGTGACGAACTTGATCTTGAAGCCGATGGCCAACGCCACGGCCGGGGAGAACGGGGTGGCGCTAGCCTCTCCCGTCTCCCACGCTTACGTACAGAAAGGCGCGACGGTCTACATTCACTATAGCCCCTCTGCAGTGGCTGTTGCTGGCTCCGGCGGCACTGCTCTGTCCAAGCCACAGCTTGTGATCAAGTACTTAGAGAGGAAATAATTCACCACTGAAGTCCTCACGAGCGGCGATGCCGGGAATGAGGACTAGTGGAAATTTTAAACTTAGAGAAAAAGTAGGTGATTGCGAGGGAACTTTCGTGGCTATGAAATGGACCGCGTTAAACAGAAAGGAACCAAGCCACATCAGCTATTGCCAAATTTAATTGGGCAATTTAATTTTTTACAAGAAAACGGTGGTGCGGATTTTCGTGCAAATTTTGATGAAAATTCTCCATGGTACGAAGCAAATTCCTTAACATTTTCAAAGAATTCCGAACAAACGTTCTCTTGTAAAAAATGTAATTGCCCAGTTAAACTTGGCGATAACAGATGTGGCTTGGTTCCTGTCTGTTAAACTCGGTCCAAATATTACTTAGTATGGCTTTGATCTCGGGAAGGGTGGGTCTATTGAAAAAATGTATACCCCAAAATTCCTAATATTTAATGTACCACCGTCCACTGAAAGCGTTGAAAATAGTTCCTGGATAAAACACCGGGGCTGGAATTTTGTCAGCCAAGTGGCATCGTTGGGCACGAATCCTTGACTCGCGATCACCCACTGGAAAAAAAGTCTCTTGGATCTAGAGTTTAGACTCTTAAAAACTTTGACAAAAAAATACTCTTGATTCCACTGGATTTTTCCTTGAATCGAGAGCCAAGCTTCTTAATTTAAGCACAGTTCCTCTTGATTCAAGCAGAAATCTGATTAAATCCAGAGGATTATTTCTTTCCAAATTGTGTAAGAGTTTGGATCTTACCGCACCAAGAGACTTTTCCTACAAAGCCTTTACTTCTTCAGCTTGTCACTGTCTTATCAAAGAGGGTGGATAAAGCTTTTGTATTTTTCAATCACGTTGATCAATAGGTATGTGATATAATATGCTACTTCTCTTCAGTGATTGCTACGGTAAATTTTGAGAAAAAATCAGAATAATTGAAGAGAGCTTATTTGAATAAAGTATAGTGTCATGCACTTAAAATCTGAGAAAAAAACGTGGCCCTGACTTAATTTGGAGATATTTCATTTCGAATTTTAAGGGTACCTCAAGTAATGAGAGACATATGGTTAGGTATCGTATTTTCCTTAATTTTAAGCTTATCGTTAGACTATGCTTTTTCTGATATAATCAAAGCTAAAGGCTATACATGTTTCCCTTTCAAGCGAATCTTGCATTAGGCACTCGAAATAAACTCTTGGCGCTTTAAAAAAAATTATAAAGTTACCCTTGTAAATATAGACACCCTGCTCCTGAAAAGTCTCAATGAAAACAATGTCATAGATAACAATTGAGGGGAAGAACACATACGGAAGAGCTAATGAAATTAGCTAAATTAAAAACTACTTATTTACTTGAGCAATGAGAGACTTCCTACATATCTTACATTATTGAATACTGAATTATGTCATATAGAGCGATTTTCCCGGAGAGTTTATCAGACTTAGACTGCCTAGTAGGTCACACAAAGAGTTGCCTATTTATTATTTTCAAAAATTTAGCAATCACTGTTTGGCAAGAGGGGTGAACCTTATTATTTCTTCGTCAAATGATATCACTGATAAATGTCTGAGAGAAATTAGGCGAGACAATTTGTCTAATGGAGGGTTGTTCTTTAACTAGTTGTCAAACAGATGGTCTTCCTTCAATCGAATGATTCAAAACCTTGCCAATTAGTGATTTCTACGCTCAAATCTCAAGCTCTAGAGTATGCATCTTATGCATTAAGGGCAGCATAGAGGTCACGCTGAGTACTGCAAAAAAAGCTCAGATCCCAATTTTGCGGCTCTGCGTTTTTCAAGTTGGCCATCGTATGTGCTCATTTTGTGTTCAACGGTTCTTTAAACACATGTAAATATAGACTTTATATTAGTGTACGTACTATTTATCCGCAGGCTGTGATTGTAAATAGTATAGGTAATACTTCATCTCCTCCTTATGGATTTGCATCGCGTGATCAGGCTGATGGCACTTAGAGCCGTGCTGACTGCTGAGCGCCCAGATATATCAACTGCCGTGCTTGATTCCGTGCAGGCTTGCCAGATCGTCCCATTAATTCAAGACGCGCTGACACTGATTTAACCGGTTTATCGGAAATGTGGTAAACGTCTAGGGTATACGTCAACGAAGCCTCTCGCAAGTAGTGTGCCTGATTTACCTTGGCTCTGAAACTGGCAAGCTGTTGACCCAATGATTTGTTTACCTCATTTTGCTCCGTTACTGTACAGAATATTTATATGCTTGGCGGTTGACGTGAATTTCCGAGTATATTCAGCTATGTCCGCTGAAAAACCGGACGGGAGCAAAATTGATGTCAATGTTTTGTGAGGAGCAGTTGCTGGTAGTTGAAATGATTCAACTACCAGCAACATAACTTAGGACCTAATTCCTAGTCCTCCTCAATCAGTTTAGCTTCTCAAAACGTCCCAAATGATTTACAATGTGATTAAAAAAGGTTAAAGAGGGTCTCTAGCTTAGTACCATAAAAAGAAAAATTTAGAAAAAAAATTGAGTTAAAATCCAACTATATGGCTTTGGAAACAGATCTTGCAAGGAATCACAATTGGACCGGTTAAGCAGAAAGGAACCAAGCCACATCAGCCATTGCCAAATATAACTGGGCAATTTAATTTATTACATGGAAACGGTGAAGCGGATTTGTTTGAAAATTTCAGTGAATTTTCTCCATGTTACAAGGCAGATCCCCTAAAAATTTCCAAAAAATTCGCACAATTGTTCTCTTGTAGAAAATTAAATATCTCAGTTAAATGTGGCAACAGCCGATGTGGCTTGGTTCCTTTCTGTTAAATGCGGTCCCATTACTTGTTACAGAAAAAAGAAAAACATAAGAAATACCTACAAATGAAAAGATTTTGTAAAATTTCAAGGTGAACCAAATTCGTTTTTTCGTGTCTCGCACGTTTCCAGTTGATAATCATTGCAATCCTTTGCAAGCTTGTAGATCCTAAGATCTTTTCCAAAATGATATTATTACATTTTACTCAATGTTTGGGTTAATGTTGTCCCTGTCTTAATTATATTTAAAATACCTACGTTCACCTCCCTCAGTTACAATGTGAATTGTACGGGGCCTTACAGTGTGGAAGAGTTGATTAAGGAGCGACTATGCTTAAAAACTCTTTATTTTTGTAGCTATAATAGTAGAGATCGTAACTGATATTTTTAGTAAAGCCGAAAAAAATATTTGAGTTTTGCTATTTCTTATTGCAGCTCATAACAACTGAATGAAACTATCTTTCCCGTCAATATGTTAAAATAACAAGAGACAAATTTACTGGCTCTACATATTAGAGTTGCTCCACTTGTGAAAAATACGTTATAAATAGGTGTGCTGCATTATTCAAGCCAATTAACTCGACATTGCTAAAGTATTATTTGCCTGAAGATAAAAATGTTCAAAAAATTTTGTCGAGGCAAAAATATTTCACATTAAATATAGGTGCATAGTTCCTTTATTATTGGCTGGTGAGATCTCATGGCTCAAAGAATATTGAATAAAGATTTTGGAATTTTCAAGTGTCAACTCTAAAATTGACTTCAATAGCGGACGATGATATATTTTAAGATAAAGATGTATTTTTTCCTAATTATTCTAAGCAAAACCAATATATATTATTTAAGATTTGGAGAATAGAGTAGTACATGAATACGTGGATTTTTGTGAATGATTGAATGAAATGCACTATAGAGACATGAGTTTAGATGCGTTGATTAAATACGTTGATTATTTTAATGATATTATTTAAAAGATATTGTTGAGAAAAAAATGTAAATAAAGTGTAATAAATTCCTAATAGACATTAATTAAAATAAATTCTTAATCACGCCAACGTTTTATTTTGAAATCAAGAATTAAAAAAAAATGAAAAAAAGTATCCAAAAATGACTTATTTTGTACATAATTTGCATTTTACTTAGAATCAAACTGCTCTGTCCTAGGGACAGGAGAATGTATTTTTTAAATTTATTCTTTCCTTTTTTACCAATTGGCAACTGCATAAACGGATTAGGTTTTGGTTCTTCAAGTTGCAATTTTAAAGTCAGGAAAATTGTATGTTTATCCCAAAAAACTCATTTTGAAGAACGGGGATGCAGGGCCGGATTTACCTACTTGCCGCCCATGGGCTGTCTGTATTTTGCCGCCCCCTTCTCATTCGTTTTGGAACATCAATAAAAACCATCAAGTGAACGTGCCGGAGGGAAAGGGTTACAGGACTTTTGGTCCAATTTTTTTTGTCCATAAATTTTTTCGTCCAATTTATTTTGTCCACGACTTTTTGTCCTTGAAATCTGGTCCAAGTTAAATTCGTCCTGGTAAATAGTTAGTCCTACGCATTTGTTCGTCCAGTGGTATTAGGTCACATTTCTGTGGTCCAGTAAGGTAAAAAAGTTATGTCCAAAACTCACGTCCAATGAGGCCGTTTCAGCTATTTCCTTTCAGCTTTCAGCTACTTTCAGTCATCGTCTGAGTCTTCTTCGTCCGAGTCCGGTGGATCTGCGCGTGGCGTGTGCAACTTGAAGTGGTACGCACATGCTCGGAGGTACTTCTTAAGTGAGTTCGTGTCCTTGTAATGTTGGTAATTTCGGACGATGTTGGCAATCATTGCCTGATTGGTAGTGTACTTCTTGCTCACCGGTGGTTTAAAGCGGCGATGACCCCCCCGAGCCTGTGTTAACGTACGCTCTGTGTCCTGTTGAACCTTTTTAAAAGCGTCAATGAGCTTCCAAATGTTAGCATGATGCGTGTCGACGATTTGGTTGAATTTTGAGTGAAAGCCCTCAACTGCGTTGTTTGTTCTAATACGATCTGCCAAAACTAAGTTGTAGACGTTCCATGTTTCGGGAGGGAACAGGGGAGGTACCGCACGTCTTCTTCCCCGAGCTGGTTTGCCACGCACGTACGTGTGGTCAACGTACGTCGCAAATTCGGTTAAAGCGTCGTCTATTTCAAAAATATATACAGTCATTGAATTTTGA